AGATTTAACACCTAATGAATCCACATAAGATTTCTGAAGTACTATAGCTTAACATACAAACTTTAACAGTGTTCTAATATTTAGAATATTTTGCCTTTGATGCAGAATATTAACTTAGTGGTTAGTGAAGCCTCTCCTTTCAAAAGCTAGTTTTGTATGCTGTAAATTCGGTGTATGTCAGTTAGAAGGCATTCTGAAAGGTAAATTCTGGAAGAAGTAATAGCATAATAAAACAGTCTATGTAATGATACACTGGACATAATTAAACACTAGCCCAGGAAAGCCTCAAAGCCGTAGCAGCGTTACCTTCTTGATCAAAACCAGCAGTAACTTCATAAAAACACCAACGTTAACCTTTATCCTTTCCTCCCCTATGGGTGAGATAAATGGAGAGCTGTATTTATGCCAGACTTAAGGCTTCACTGGGGCAAACCACAGTGCTTAGGCTTCCTGTCATTCTCTAGAAGAGAAAAGACACTATCAAAGTCCGCCGCAAAGCTTGCTGACCCCTGTAGACAGCCAGGTCTGAGGTCTCTCACAAACAGCTATTTGTTTTAATTTCAGCAATCATTTTCCATCAATCTCAGAGCTCAGATGTTAAAAGGTACCAGAGAATGGAAAAAATACAGGCCTCAACCCATCTGAATTCATTTCTGCCTCTAAGCAGGGATATGCACAGCGCAAACACTTCTATTCTTCCACTTGAAAAGTTTCACACACACAAATCTTTTTGTGCTTTCAACAGCAAGATAGAGGGGGAAGGGAGGAGAGGGGACACACACAACACATCTGAAGATGTAACTTCTTCCAGCACGTCCTCAAAAAAATATTCCAGAAAGTAACATTTGTATTTCTTTGTTTCTGAAATGGGCTAAAACTGCCTCCTACAAAACATGCACTTCACTGAAACTTGTGCCTTCATCACTCACTGTTGTGAGTCAAGTTACTAGGGCATGTTCCTAACCAACAGAAAAGGTAATGTACCATTAGAAACTTGTATTTCTGTTCCCATATGCTCTGCTTTGGGGAAGGTGGTCACTAGATTTGATGTCATTTTATAGCAACAATTAAAGTTTTTTAAAAAAAAAAGACTGGCTGGCTGGCATCACCTGACATCATCTCACCATGCCTGGACTACTGCATTTTCTATGAGCCCACTGGCATCCAGTAATCATTTTCGCTTTAATGGGACTGCTGCTATGACCACAATTTATGGTGCCAGCCTTGGGTGTTTTTAAAAGGACAGAATGCCAACAGCAAAATTCAGATTAAACTTCAAAAAGTTTTTGGTCAACCCAATTCTTCAACTTTGCTTGGTTAAAAGACAGGCAGCATCAGGCAATTCTGGGTCTGGATCTGAGGTAACGGCTGGCGTGGCCATGGGCCAAAGCAAGGTGTGCTGGCAGCTGAGCAGCAATGAACAGCAACGAACAATGGCTGAAATTTCACAAAAGCCACCTCTCACTGAAGAGGGAACATTTCTGAGTAAATGATGGAAAATGGCTGTCCCTTTTCAAAGTACTTCTGAAGCTAGAGAAAAGAACATGAAAAAAATAGGGAATTCAAGAGTATTCACTCTACCCTGGGAGAAAATAAGGAAAAATAACCTCAACTGCTTTATTTAAAGAAACAGACCAACTACACGGCTACTCTGAAGCACAGCGGAGGGTAGTGAAGGATGTGGAACTGTCTTGAGCTCCGGAAAAGGTGGACTGAATTGCCAAAGAAATTTATGACCAGGACTATTAGCTTCCTGTCTTTGATGTCTATTCTTGGCTTTCCAGGAGCATTATGGCATTCATGAGGTGAAAATCGCACTGAAGCCAAGGTCAGCTAAGGCTGATGCAGCCAGTTCTACTGCAAAGCTGAGAAATTCACTCGGAACTGCTTCAAGATGCTGCGTTTAAAGCCTGAAGACACTTCAACAAAGGCCCGAGTTTACTTCCTCTGGATCAATGAGAGGGTTTTTTTGTCAGTGTCATGAGAGTGTGATAGCACCTTCAAGCAAAAAAAAAAATAATCAGAGATCAACTTCCCAGTAAAACATACTGTCAGGGAGCACACTTATTTTGTCCTCACTAAAGTTGAGGATCTCAGCATACTAAATCACAGGTACTATTGAAAGTTTTGCTTCATCTCCGCCAACTTGCAGTGGAAGTCTACGTGTTGAAGATAAAAGGGTGGAAATCAGGTAATTTGTTCACAGAAACCTCAAAAAGAAGATTCTGAGGTGAATCACTATTAAGCTGACCAATATTTGGTAGTTCAAAAAATGCTAAATTAACAGAATTTGTAAAATTTTGACAAACAAAAAGTATGAAGCCACTAGTTCAATTTCAATTTAACAGGCACAACTATAAGATTTAGCAATAAATGTATGGGCTAATCTTTCTCCACTTCAAGCATATGGCAAGATTCCCTTTGTTTCAGCCATGGCCAGGATCATACCCTTTGGTCCCAAGTGAGCAAAGCACTTAGAAGCTGAAGTTGAGCATATTTTAAGTGTGTTCTAAAGCGTTGAGCTGGGTCAAGGCCCTCCTTGTCCTGCTCTGTAATACAGACATATGTTTGCAATACGGGCAATTTGTTGAAGCCAAAAATGTAGGTTTTGAAAACTCTTTTGAGAATCAATTATTATTATTTTGATTAGACATTCCCTTACAAAGTTTGAAGCCTAAACATTGTGGCATTGAGCAAATGCAGATGAACCAGAAAGGAAAAGTGCATTAGCTGGTGAAGAATCTCTCTGCTGAATAATCTAAACTCAAGGCAGTTTTTGATCTATGGTCCATAGAAGACCTGGGAACTATTAGCAAGAGGCCTGTGAAAGGCAGCTAAGAAGAGCAAGTTTATTTATGCTATACAGGAATCTACTTATGTGAAACGTCTTAAATTATCTTGACACTTCCATGGGAAAAATGCACAGGTAAGTGTTCACCGATTTAGAAAGATTAAATCCCATTGATCTAAAGTGTCTTAATGGGCAAGAAAGGTTCACCTTTCTTAGGAGGTGCTGGGATGTAAAGTTGTGGTAGGCCACCATCAGCATCCCACCAACAGACATCTCATAAAAACACTTCCTGAGGTCGTGATTAAAAAAACTACATAAAACTGGGGATTGGAATTACCTTTTTAATTAAAAAGTGACCTTTCACTATACTTTTTTTGAAATATGTTTAGTTATAGTAAGATGACACTATAAAAAAGCTGTCTTAAGAATTTATTTTCCCAGCCAGGTCTCCTGGTTCAGATCTTCTGGTCTGACCTGATTGTGCATGGCACAGGAAAAATGTCTTGCTCCTTAACTAGGGACTGAGTACTAGTTCACACTGCAAATCAGAATAGGATAAACTAAAAGATTTCACACACTAGAACCATAGTCATAGCTGGGTTTTCCCAAACAATATTTTTATGGGTCTTCTTCACCACATTTATAATATGTACTGTTCATTTCCATTTGTTGACTAGAATAAAATAACCTGTCAGTAGCTAATTCACCACAGATTCAGTTTTGCTCCTGGTAAAGTCAACGGCAAAAGTCCCAGGGATACTGATGGCAAGCCCCAGAGTAGTGTTTTACGACCCTGATTCCTGAAGGTAGTTCTTTGTGTGTTTTATTGTACACACATTAATAGTTCGTCTCACCAACTAATGTAGGACTATTTAACATGTGAAAAGTTCATTGCTTTCAGAATCAGGGCCACCACGACACAGAAGATTCAGTAACTGCATTTATATCGTTTAAGTAACTATTTGAATGTTGGCACATGCCTGGAGAAAAAATGGGGCAAAAAGTCCATTACTATCCATAAAGTCACTTCTCCTCCCCTAAATACTGGTTCTAAAATGTATTTACAGCTGTTGACTTTCCCTGCGTGTTAATCCTATCATAAAAAATGTCTTCAAAACATCCTCTCCCTTAATTTTTAATCCTACCAAAGCAAAAATAGATACTTTAATAGAAAAATACAAGATAAAAAATATGCTAAAAATAAAATGGTAGCATGGAATGTCATTTTTACACAAAAAAGATCCCCTTTTGAGTTGCCTCAGCTATACAAACACTTTTATATTTACAATTTTGGATGCAGTCCTGTGTTCACTGAAGTTAATGGGATCTTGCCATTGACTTCACTAGGAACAGGAACAGGCTCCACATGGGCTGTATTTGCCTCTCTGAAAAGTCATGGCAGTGGAGAGAAAAGAGCATGATAAAACACATGTAAGACCAAGGAATTAGCCAGTCCTCTCTGGAGGCCTGATTGTTTTCTCTCTCACTATTTCACACCAGTGAAACTCCTTCTCCTTCACTGGAGTTTTACCTAACTCCCAGCACTTAAGAGGGAGAATCAGTGCTTTTGATTGTGATACTACACAAACAAGGCAAGAATGGTTTGTGTGTATTTCCACCCGCCTGACTTTCTCAGTGGAGTTAATTACACCCCAGTGAAGTTAATTACACCCAAGTGCTAGTTCCCTCCAAGAACTAAACTCCATATTCCCCAATCTTGTATCCCCTGTAATCAATGGCAATGATTCAGTGATGCAGGATCATACCCCAAATGAATCCCTTTTTTCCTTTTGACAGCAACCAGCATCTGTGCCTGTGAAACCATATTTGATACCCATGGGTGAGATGCAATTAAGGAAGGAGATGGTAGGAGCTAAAAAAACAAAAAAGGGAACAGAATGAGGCATTCCCCATCAACTAAATCCAGATCTCCTGCCCTTAACATATACCTTAAGAAATACCGTCTTTATATATTAAGGGCACCCTATAACATCAAATTGCATCATTTTCTTTTTTTCATGAGATGAAAGACCATGTGGCATGACGTGATTAATAAATCATTCCTGAGCTTCTGAAAGAAATTAAGACAAAATTACTGCTTAAAAGAGTGAGTTCTTCAAGAGCCCCCTCTTCTTACACTGATGTCTTTGGTTGTGTCCTTTTCCCTAATTCTTTTTTTCCCCAGGAAGAATGGGATTCTTTTTCTTCTTTATGCAGCAGAAAAATGAGATCTAATGGAGTCTTCACGTAACTGCCGATGTTTCCCCATGTTACAGTCCTCCTGTCGAGTTCGTCTCTCAATAGTTATTCTGTATTTCTTTCTGCATGAAAGGAGAGGAACAGAGTGAGAAATCCTTCTCCAGCTATAGAGTAACAGGACTTCCCTTATAAAGAATGCCTGTAGGGGACAGCTGGGTGCCAGTTGAAAAATGAAATGTGGCAGAATGTGAAACCCTGGTCAAAGATTAAAGTAGTTTGCCTCAAAACATTTTACCCAGGCTCAAGAATGCCTGTTAATTTCTACACGGCAGTCTCAAAGCACCAAGACACAGACATTTGCTTCTTTGAAAATTTCTGATCTAAGTGATTAGGAAGTTTTTGTGAAGTGTCATGTGAACTGTGTCACATCACTGCTTTATATTGATCAAAGCCAAATTTCTTCCCAGTATATAAGGGGCACTGTCTACAAAGTTCAAACAACAGATCTGACTCTTTATTCCATTGTGTTTCTCACTGAAATTATATATTAACTAATCCTCCCATCTCCCTCTGAGAAAGCTACTATGTTTGTAATGTCAGAGGAGGTAGTATGATGAATTAAGAAGGGGGATGTACAGGATAGATAAGAAGTAAATACAATTGCTCATGCATCAGACACAGTTTTTCCTGTGTGTCTTCCTCTTGGGCCTTTTGAAGAATTCTGTTATGTTACTTCATACGTCAAACAAGCCCTCTGGCTGTCTTTCAGTTTGCCCTTTAGTACCCAAATCTCCCTCTAAAATCGTAAGATTCACATTTATATTTGATGCATTTATGCTTCTACTGAGTTTCAGGACCAATTTTTCAGAAAGGCATTAGTCCAGCCACATGTGCACACAGTACTGCTTGTGCAGAAGCATGACAAAACGCTTGTATTCCACGGGAAGCTCTGCTCCGCTTGAACATGTAGCAGGAGTAAGAGCTAGGCATGTAGCAGTGGAAGAATAATTTTCAAAACACCAAGGTTTTAATTTGGGTAACATGGCTCAATAGAAAGTGGGAACCTACAAGTTCTGAAAAGATTCCCTAGACATTTGTGTCTGTATCAGTAGGCTCCAAAATAACTTGAAAAATCTATGTTCTTTACTTCATTTATGCACTTTCGAGTCAGATCCCTCCACAGGTCCGAGCATGCACAGTAGCAGCTCATGCACAAGGACAGGTCTACATTTTAGAAACGTGGCTTTTTAAGTTTAAATCCTTTCAAAGCTATGTATTAGAACTACTACCCAGCTCTTTTAACAGTTTGTATGCACACTCAAAGGCTTTGTTTGCATGCTCATTTGTGGTAATTACAGATCTAAATGAGAGTTAATCAGAAGGTGCACATACAGTCTGAAAGGTACAGAAGCTGCAGGTACAAATTACTTCCAGGTACACAACTCCTAGACCTGCATTTTCTGAGAATCTGACTCATACATCCTGATATGTTTTGTTCCACATGTTTAGTGTAATGGTGGAATTAGAGAGCTGTCCCTACTCCTGCTTTGAGTTGGTGTAATCAGATCTCCAGGATGAAATTCACTCCTGTCTTTAGACGTCTTCAACCTGCAGGTCTACCTGACAAAGCACTCACAAATTCCTTCAGTCAATGGAGAGAAACAGGCATTTCTAAGAGGCATTCTTCTGACCTGATTTAGCTTTTACATAAGGATGACATGAACTGCACCCAAAAAAGTGCTAATTTCTCCCTCTAACCATAAATACAAAAACTGGGTGTTGAGATCATCTGTGTACACCTTCTTTTACAGACACTCAGCTTTGCTTACATGGATTTCCAATACAAATGTTTGTGTCAGATGACTAAGAGCTTAAGTCCTGTTCCTACAATGATGCTTTGCATAGTTTTATACTAGCTCAGGATATGTCTTTTGCCTCATTTCTTGTCCTCACATACCAATCCCCTCCCAGTATCAGTCATGCTAAAAAACAAACGCCAAAATTATCATCTTAGATTAAGAACGTTTAAAAGATGCAAGAACCTCTGATGACAAACACTATAAAGACAGACTTGTATTTTCTTTTTTGTCTTTTAAAGACAGTCCTTAATCAGTCACAGCTAACTTATCTTGTCTCAAACCCAAATAACATACTATATAAGCACCAAACACATGCAAAAATACAATCACTCTGCAGAATTCCAGTTGTAACTACTTGGATAAATAATCGCAAATAACTTTTGAAACCCTGGAATTGTGCTGGTGAATTGAAGCAGTTTTTGCCTGTTTCTGTCTATTAACATTTTATTATTAATAAATATTTTTATTGGATAAAATTATTTGATTCTTATATGCAGAGGTTACTTCTATTCTCCTATCTGTCTTTTCCATACCAAAAAAGGATAAATTACAGTATATATAAGATGCTGAACATGTAGAACTAATTTATTCTGTCAGCATCAGATCAACTCTCAAGCCTTTAGATTTGCTGACTAGCAGTGTAAGAATTATTGTACTTAAACAGGAGTAAAACACTGATCACCCTGCACTGACCTCAGCTTATTAAGTTAAATGCACAGCTTTGAAATCCAAATGCTCTTATACCAAAATAGAAATCTCTTTCTAGCTTCCAGTACAATTCCACTCAATACTCAAAAATTAAGCAAGGTACCAGGCAAGTTATATAAATCTCTATAGCACGATTAAAGCCTGCACAATTGTACTGGCAAAGAGTACCAAACAAAGAAGGCTTTCAAGGCCGGGGCACTTTACTAAAGAACACGGAATGACTGGAACTCACTGGAATTACTTTAATGGGTAAAGTTACTCAGAGATGTACGTGGTTACAGGATGAGGCCCTGAGTCAGTACAATGATTTGGATATACACAAAAGGACAGTCAAAGTGTGTTCGCTGTCTTTGGTGGGAATGTTACCACAGATTATTATGGCACCCCTCTGCTTCCCATCAAGGATGTGCTGCCAGGAACTGAGAGGTCTGAATGACAAGTAAAGAGGTAACAGAACTTTCAATGAATTGGACTAACCTGAAAAAGTAAAAAGCCATAAGCAGTCCTGCTCCGAGCAAGGCACCCACAACTATTCCTGTAACTGCTGATTCTCCTAGACCACCTGCTTGAAAAGGAGAAAAATAAACAATCAGGGTTCATATTGAGAACTATTTGCGTTCACATATTGGAAAATACACACAACTAGGAAATGACTGACCAACATCAGATAATAACTAAAGCCTTTCAGAGCTCAGGACTCCATGGGAACCTCTTCCTTAGTTCCTATTTCTGCATGTTTATTTTTTGTCCTTGCTTTCTTTGGGGTTAAAGAAGCCCCCAAGATCAGTGTCTGATGAAGACACAATTCTAGAGATGTCATACACAGGAATGTTAAGAAACTGGTCTGGACAGCCTGGTCTGAATCATAAGACAGACTGGGATTTCAATGACGCGCTTAATAGGACTCAGGACTGAATATGCCCTGAGTCATAACAGAAACAAACTAATTTCACCTGGTTTAGCATCATAACCCTCTATCGCCATTAAAATGACTGCATGATTATCCACCAGCTCCTCAATTTTATTTTTTGTTTCTGAACCTATACTGTTTCAAGTTAAAGCCATATGAGCTGTGCCTTGTTCCAAATCTCAACAGAGGCAGAGCAGGGACACAGTGGCTAGGGGGAGCCCAAGTAGGGACTGACACTCTACAAGATACAGGGCAGCTGAAGAACAATGGCATTTTCATGTGGGTGCAGCCTGCTCCCTTTTCCGTGCCCACCCGAGTCTGTGGAAAGGAACAGAGAAAGATAAAGGAAATTAAACTGCTCCCTCCTTTTCATTTACCCTTGACCCCTTGAGACGAATTTTGTCTGTAGATCAGGATGTGCAGAAGGAAAAAGGTGCACAGCTACACCATGCTGAGCATAGAGGGTATGGCCTGGAAACAGTCCCTACAGCATGTGTGTACACACAGGTTTTTCAGGGACTGAACGATTATCAGACTGCAGATACCTTTTCACTGCAGGACTAGAGATTTGTTTGCTGTGAAAAGCTAAGATCAGTTGCCACTGAGGCACTAGTATCTTCCTACTCTTATCTCCTTGCAATGTCCTGCTCACTACAACATGGTCTGCAAAGTCAGTGCACTGGAAAACAAGGACACCTTCTCTACGGAGGGTAGTCCCAGCCTTCTGAATTCACAGGTGTTGCCCAATTCAACCAACTTCACTTCTTCTCAGCCTATTGGGCCCCTTGCAGTGCATTCTCATAGCACTGAAAATCATTCTGCACTGAGAGAGCACTGCTCCCATCAGCACTGGCCTCCCCAGCTGCTAATTGTCAATATGATTGTTCACTGTTTGGGGTTTCAGTTATATCCATTTTCTGGCTGAAAGAGATTTTACCTTTTAGCCCCTGGAAAGTCCTAAAGCCTCCAGGGCCCTGGGCTGTGCATCATGATTACTGTCATGCCGAAGTTCAGGGAAGTGATTCAGACCACATACTACCCACGGCTGCCAGACCTTAACTTCCCAAAGAGTCAGCAGAGAGACACAGTCACGATGTCTCGATGTCTCGGCTGGACAACTGTGCTAAGCAGTTTGATGGGGCCCATTGTGTTGCATCACCACATGGATTCCTCTCTCTGGCAGTCTGTGCAGAAGCATTGAGTCACTAAACTTACATGATTTACATGGTGTATTGTTTGTGTGCTCTGAAACTCGGCTTTCATCCAGTCGCAGCCTGCCATGATTCCAAGGATATTTCACATTCGATCGAATTTCAAAACGCCCCTGCTTTCCGTAGTAGTCCCCAATCACCTATGCAAAGAAGAAAAGAATGAAAAGATTTTCCTATCAACTTAGGGAAGTAAAACAAACAGGAGACTGGCATCACTCTCTTGGACTCCTGTGGCAGGATGCTGAACCGCAGAGAATGGGGCTGAAGGGGTCTGTGGGAGGTTATGCAGTGCATGCCCTGGCCCCAGGCAGGATCAGCTGAACAAGAGCATTCCTGACAGAAATGCTTTATGTTAGGTTTACCTAACCTGATCTGAAAAGCCTCCAAAGATGGAGACTTGACAATTTCTGTAGGCAATTTTTCTGGAACTTACCTATCCTTACTGTCAGTGGTTTCCCCTAACCTGTAACCTAAATCTCCCCTGTTGCAATTATCCATCCCGACTTACCTAATTGCCAGTGGACATAGACTCTTCCTTTCTGAAACATCACTTTACATATTCACAGGCTCTTATCTGGTCTGCCCTCAGGCTTCTCTTCTATGTAAACCCACTTCACACAATGTTTTGTAACCCTCAGAATATCCCTCCTGCTCTCCCTGGGCCTTCTTCAATTGTTTCATAGTGGGTTGAGTGCTCAGGACTGTCACCCAGCTAACTGAAAGTATCATTTTACGTACTTTGTATGCTGAGGCTCCCAACTATACACTCCAGGCTGGACTTTGCTATTTTGCAAGGATCTGGAGGTACTTAGAATCATAGAATTGTTCAGCTAAAATCTTCAAATCTCCTGAAGAACTACAACAAAGCCTGTAATTCTCCACCTTCTGTTTCTGCAGTTGTTGACATTTACACAGAACAGGCCTTTCATGCCTATTATTCTGGTAACATGGACTAATATTTCAGACCAATTCATCCAGATACTTTAGAATTTCAGTCCTGTCCTCAACAGTAAATCCAGGCTTTATTCAAGATAACATAAGTTGGATCTACTGCAAAGTTGCAGGACTAAGTTGTGCTAACAGTAGTAGGTCACTCAGCTGAAAACAGTTCAAAAAAAATCTATATACAGTAATAAAGGCCAAATATCATGACACTGAAGTAGTCAGAAGTGATGGCAGAAGCACATCAAAAGACTTATTTGTCCTACCATGGATAAAACCCACATATTAATACACTGGGTTTAGAATCCATGCCATTGATGGACTGTTCAAATCTTACACATGAATTTCATTTTGAAGGGAAATTTTTTTTGAAAGAGTTGAATGATAACATTTGCCGTGATTAGATACATAAAGCAAGATTTCACACTAAATAAAGAAGCTAATTTCTCTCCCAGTTTTGCAATTTTTTTAACATCTGCTCAAAAATAAAGGCAAATTCAGTAAACTGAAAAAAATAGAGGGGAAAAAAACTCAGAGACCATTTGCAGGCAGCAGACTATTCATTAAGAGATTGTTTAATTTATCAAACAGGAGTGGGAGAGTCCTCTACTACTAGGGCTTACTAAATGTAAAAGCACGCAGAAAGGCTTCAGAAGAACAAATAACTATAAGCAGCGACCAAACAGATTCAGATCAGAAGTAGGATATACCCCACACAAGGGTAAGAAACCTGCCTGCCTGTAACACAGCAGAGGTCAGACTAGGTAATCTGGTGTTTTCTTCTCGCTTTAATCTCTGTGAATGGACCTGGGAAAACAGCTCTGCCCAAACACCCATTCATCTGGCTCAGTTCAGCTGAGAAACATTCTTGTATGGACATAGAAAAAAAATGGCAAAATGAATAAAACAAGGCATCAATGTTTTTAGAGTGAGGCATGAGGGTAAAAATGTAGCAGATGCAAGTAATAAGTAACCAAATGTAAAATATGTTAATTGCATCTATATTTATATATATCATAAACAAAGCAGAGGAAAATTAAAATAAGCAATATGTTAAACGCAGAAATGTAACATCAAAGAAATAAAAGATGGTTTAAATGACAAGTGAAAGAGCAATGGAAGGAAGGACAGGAAAGAGGGATTAAATTGATAAAATGAGATAAAAATCTAATGGACTGAACAAACGGAGAGATATAAGTTGTTCAAACCAAAGTCATCCCAAGCAATTTCTACTCCTAGCTTCAATTAATGATGATTACTCCTACCCCTGGGAGTGTCTGCAGTTAACTGCTGTAGTTTTTCATTCACATTTACATACCGAAACACACTAGACACTCATGCTTTTAAAAAGGCTTCTTTAGTTTGTCTCTGCAGCAGCACTGACAAGAACAATATAACTTCACTGGATTCAAATCCACACGTAGAAACGTCCAGCTCAGATTTACTGCTGCTTTATGTTTGAGCTTGATAAAATAGGGGAGGGCCAGCAAAGCTTAGGCTGATGCTGACTTCACAACTAAAGGAAGCTTTATGCTGCAGCTGGAGTTAGTGCAATGTACGCATTAATAAACTCAACCCAGTCATGCTATTCCCTATGTGTGGCTGGTGCTATTTCTCATAGACTGCTTTTCACAGTCTGGCTGCTTCCACTCCGGCTGCGTCCAGTGGAACAACCCATGTGGTGTACATGGAGCCGTCTGATTAAAATGTCTCTTACACATTGAAAACAAGACACTCGGGTCTTACTGCCTGATAAACAAGGTGAGGCAAGGTCTGCACTCCTGCCTGTGGTTGACCACAGGGTAAGATTCAAATACCTGTACTCACCGTGTTTATACATCAGGGTAACTTGTCCATCCCTGTTGCTATAAGATTAATCTTCCTTCTTACCAGCAAAAAAAAAGGTCTTCCTCATTTTAAACAATAATTTCTCGTATTTGAAATTTATCAGTGCTTAGCTAAGCTTGTGAGATTTCAGTCTTTAAATTTTAAAGACTAGCATCAAGTGAACAGGTACGTATTGTTAAAGAAAAGAATTTAAGAGAGCTTAAAAAAAATAGGATAAGTGCTTCAAGATAATTATTTCACAGAAAGGATTTGGTCTCCAGGTTGATAAGATTAAGCAATACCATTTTAATGTGTATATTAAATAAACAGATGCCCACCAAGTAAACAGATGATACCGTGTTACATTACACTGGCTAATTCATCAGTGGCCAATTGCAATGTTTTTTTTTCCTTACCTCCTGCGTGCCTGCTTCTGGGTCCGTCATTCCAATCACAGAGAAATCCCCATATCTGTCTCCATTGGCATCAATGGACACCTGCCCTGCAATGCCTAAAGAATGGCATGTGAGGAATTAGAAAATTAATTAGTTAAAATACTGAGCCTTTCCAAGGAAAACAAGAAAACAGTGCACAGGTTTTTACAGACCGATATGACAGGAAATCTCATCAGTCTCCCAGCATTTTTGTTGGCATTCCAAAAGAAATTGTAATTTCATCTCGGTGTCTGCATTCCTGAATTCTTAACATTTCTCCCTTTTAAATATCAAATGTGTGAGACTGTTTGGGGAATACGTGAGAAAAATCTAATCCAAAAGCCAGCACGCAAGAATAAAACACAAATATATTTAACGTGAATTATTTACAGAGACCCTAACCCTGAAACATCTAACAATGACTCAATAAGGAGAGTCCATTTCATGTGCCGCAGAGGATGCGGGGGCACAGCCCTGCGCCCCGCAGACTGGTGGGGTTGGTACACCCATAGAGCCAGTACAGCGTTGTTTCCATCTGATGGGATACTGGAGGGGGCATGGTCCAGCCCAAACCACAACAAAGGGGCACCATGTGCACTACATATGCGTTAAGTCCTGCATTCATTTATATAGGATTAACTGCATAATATGGTGCTGTTTGGTTTATATTTTTAGACCCCCCGGTTCAGTTCCGTCCTTTACGAGTTCTAGCAAATTTTAGGGAAACTGGAAATCATAGACTCATAACTCATAACATAGACTCATAGACTCAAACTCAAGTTTGAAGGGGATTCAGGAGGTCTCGAGTTCAACCTCCCACTCAGAGCAGGCTGAGTCAGGAAGTCAGAATATAAGGATGCTCAGGGTTTTATCTGGTCTTCAAAACCTCCAAGGATGGAAACTGCACAACCTCTCAGGGGAAACTTGTTCCAACTGTCACGGTGAATAAACACTTCCTGGTATTCAGTCCGAACCTCTCCTTTCAGTGTATGCCCTTGTGTACAAAGAGCACGGCTCCTACTTCTTGTGGTGTAAGTGAAACAGGTTCTTAAAATCCATCAAGCAATACCAATTCACTATGGTGAAGACATTGTAAGACTTTGCTGATATGCTTTATCACCTCAGATAGTCTCAAATGTGATCCTCCACTGCCTGACACCAAACATAGCCATTTACATCAGTGCTAGTCAAACAAGCATCATTATACATCCACATTACACCAAATATGTGACTAGAAGAGGCACAAAGTAGTAGAGAATCAGGTTCTCGGTGACTGTAAATCAGAAGACAGAGGTCAGATATTCAGCCAGAGTACAAATTCCCCTCAACATATCCAATGACAGTACACATGCAACAGATTAACACACCTCCATTTATCTTGTCTCCGTTCCCATTTAGTGATGTCAGGAATGTTTAAACTTACTGTGATTTTCAAAACATGTAGCGGTCATCAAAAAATTATTGTCAAGCATCTGTTTCATTATAACAATACAGTAATCAAACAATTGCCAATTTGATTTCTGCAGGAAAACAGAATCGGTATAACAACCACTTGGCTGTGAAAGCACTGGAAGAGGCCACTACGAAGAGCTACAATGTCCTTGCCTGCACGGCAATTTCGATTCTGGATCTGACAGGAGGCGTTAATTGAAACAGACACCTTCCTGGCCTAAGAAAGCCAAAATTCAATGTTTGGAAGTATGTAATAAAATTTGCTGAAACTCAGAATTCTTATGGGATTCTTTTTTAATGGGAAAGACTCTTTTTTAATAGGAAAGTCTCATTTTTAAATTTTCCACCTGACTCAAAACAAAGAGTTTGAAATGTTGACATTTCCTGCAATGTTCTTCCTTAAGAAATGTTTGTAGGAAATTTTGAAACAACCTTAACGAAAAACTGCATTTGGAGGTGGAAGGATTTTATCTGGACTCTCTTTTTGTTCTATTATGTTAGATACCCCCATACAGAAAATGTTTCTACTTTTTCAGAGGAAATGCCAATGAACAGTAACTATTCTCCACGAAATGTGCCCTGCAGTCATACCAGGGTGTCTCTAACAACCCAAGCAATAAGAAATCCTTCAATCACCTCAGCCTTATCCTTTCCCAAGCGCATGACATTGCCTGTGCAGCTGTGGCTGGGAGACTGTGAACACTGCAGGGAACAGCATCTGCATCCCGTTGGAGTTATGATCGGTCACCTGTTCAGAGCAGGCTGTAAAATGAGGTGGCCAGGCAATTAGATATCTAGATGTCAGCAGTTAAATTAGTGTCATTAATGAAACTGGAATCTTCATCGTGGAGACCTGAAAAAGTTTAAGTGAATTATAAAGCTTCAGGCCTGCAGTAGAGCCTGGTGGGCGTACGCATGGACCGTACTCTGCAACGCTCCATCCACTTCAGAGAGGGGAGAACAAAGCAGGGAGAACAAAGGGACATGATTTTCCTAAAAGGACTGGCTTGCAAGACATCAAGTTACAGGACTCTTTCAAAATTAGTTTTATCCTTGTACCTTATGTCCAGCAAAGTACCACCACAGGCAGGAGACTGCATATGACTTACAGGGCATTTTGACCTTTTCAGCTGCACCCTCACAGCTCAACTTGACAGCTACATTTTCAGAATAGCTGTGACAAGTCATCCAGCAACAACAAGGTGGTTTTGACAAGTGGGGAAGGAGAGTATTTTTTTCTTCCTGGTTGGTTTTACAAGAAAGGTGTGAGAATGGACTGTGTAACCTGCATGGAACACACGGTACTATGAAAGACTTGCATGTGCACACCAGCTGGTGGCTTCCTGGAGCAGAAAAGTAGGAGTAGAGAAAACACAGACAGGCTGTGCTGGGGCATCTGTTCATACACAGGACAGCCAAACAGTGAGGCAAATCCTCAGACACCAGATTCCCTCTGTTAAAACAGTGTGTTTTGGGAAGCCATGGATGCAAAAGGAGGTAGTGGGACATCAAGCGCACTCTCCAGCTGGTGCTGGGCTCCTTTTGGGATGACTGCACCCAGCATAATTTAAAGCAATCCCTGTGTTGCCTTAACCTGTTCTGGGGACCCTTTTGCCTTGTGTTCAGGCCACAAGTTGAGAACAGAAAGAAGGTTTGGAGTTGCTGTCCTTCTTGCATTCCTCTGCTGTGTCCAGTGTGTTCTTAGAGCAGAGAACCTGGCCACTGAGGTTTTTCTTACACATTCACATTAATCATTCACTTCTTATCCAGGGGAAATGTTTCTTTCTCTTAGGTATTTCAATAGGAAATCTTGCCAATCCTACACCAAAACACTGGAGTATTATAAGAGATGGACAGGAATATTTGAAGAGATGACAGATGAATCCAATAATCCTCAGTTGCTTTATTATGATCCCTACCTGGCAAAAGCACTCGCATCACTTTGCATCAGCAGGGTGACATACAAGTGCCAGTTGCACTGAGGAATTGCAACCTACTGGATTAAGCATAGAAAGGCACAGTGCTCTTCAACTGCTGCCACTGAGATAACATGCACAGCTCCTGAAAGGAGACTGGGGGGAAATCCTTCCAGGGCCCAAAGGAGCCCTGTCAAGACTTAACAAAAAAAAAAAAAAAACCAAAACCTGGCACCTGCTTGCTTCTATCCATTCCCAGGCTTTTAAGATAAAAAAGTGAAATGGAAAAAATGAAGCCATCTCAGAGCTAATAGATGTACATGAGTAAAGCAAGCAGCTGTAATCTGTTAAAAAACAAAGAAGGAGCCTGAGAAAATTAATGGTATTTCTTTAGAACATCAGTGAGGGTCATTAAATTGTTACGAGTTCTTTGAGCTGAGTAAGACCTCAAGGGGTGGTACAGAAAAAAGTCAGACTGGTGAGGTATGTGAACAAGCCTTAAGGATGTATATGGTTTCATCTGGCTATTTTCCTCTCATTTAAGAGTGGAATAGGCACAGGTCCTTGCTCTGCACACAACAAAGACCTGTATTTTTTTGACTGTGAAAGCTGGAATTCCATAGTAACTCTTACCTTCATATGTTCTGTTCCGTGTTTGCTGAACAATTTTTTCCCCATCTTTCTTACTGAAACCAAACTTCAGGACTTCCTGTAAAGCTAGAGCATAAAGAAGAATAGCATCATGGAATCCTTCCACAAACATGTTCACCTAAAAAAAAAAAAAAAAGAAAAAAAAAAGCAATGGTAATTGACACATGAAAAACTTTTCTTCCCTATGGAATTGATTACCTAGAGAGAATCTCAAAATTAAACAAAATGACTAATTTGGAGGGTTATTTTCTCAACTGTTGGAACACAAAGGAATGTGTCTCAAAAAAATCAGGGGGGGAAATGGCAACTTTTGACCCATTTTTAAGAACAGTTAACCACTATCTGCTATTCTGAACATTCAAATCAGACTTTAATGTTGTGTCTGAATAGCTCTGCAGATAGGCGAGAAATTTGCAGATCGCAGTTCCCATGCCCAGACGCACAAATTCTGCAGCTGACCACGTGAGATTCTGTAAGGTGCTGAGCACCCTCATCCCACAGCACTGAGTATGTCCTCCTCCTTCTGTGCAGAGGACTTAGCACCTCTCAGGATGGGGAAGTATGTTCTGCCACGATTTTTTTTGGAGAGCACAACTGGTGGATTTGCTTGTTTAATGATTACCACTTCCATTTCTGGCCCTTGTTCAGCTGAGCATCTCTCCACTAACAAATGAGCAATGGAGGAAACTACTTACCCTCTACAGTAATGCATTCTCTGGAACTGCCAGGAGAACACTTTCCTGTCCTTTAAAGTTTTTTCATAAGTGACATGAAATGAATGAAATGCTGCTTTCTAACCCTAATATAAAAGACGACTGCTGCCAATCAGCTCAGCCTCCCACAAGTCTACATAGGCAACCTACAGCTTTTGGTCTACATCACTAGGAGTAACCACAACAGTTAAAAGCAGAGTGCTGCAGGAACATTACAGGTTTGTTCACAGGAGCCTGGTGTGCTTCAGTGGTGAAGCAATAATTGTTTCAGAAACTGAGTTCAGATGGAGACCCATCCGCAGAAGCAGGCACACATGGCCTGAGCAGCACAGGTATTCCTCTTCTGTAAGCGGCAACTCACACCTCGGTAGTGCAATGCACTCCGCACGCTGATGCACAATAATTCAGAATGAATTATCTTTTCAGCTGCAAGAAAGATGTTCCCTTTCACTCACAGTTTCATTACAATGGAAAAGCTCCTGACATCCTAGCAAAGGTGTAATCAACGATTATACCACATTATGGGGTTTCTTATTGCCATTTCCAGTGAAGAGCCCACCTCTACAAATATTCTCCTGGACAGAAACATTTACCTTATCTTCCACTTCAGTGTATCTAAACTAATTAAAATGTTGGTAAATAAAGTGCTACTCAAACTCTCACAGCTTTAGCTGACAGTAAACATGTTAAAAGATAAAAACATGTAGCCAGTTAAGTAAATAACTGCTCCATAGATAAGAAGCATGACATAGTCGATTGGCTAAGCTGAACTAACCAAGCCCCTGGTAATGTAATTACATGCAAGAGGTTCCTTCACTCCTAAACCAGTTGCCAACAGTAAGGAGAATTTCCGAATTAATTACTGATAATACAAAAGTTGACATTGCTCTGACATTGAAAATCAGAGTTTTAGATAACTCCAACCTATATTTCATTAAGAAAATGCACCAGCAGTTTAGGGAAGAGCCCATAGCACTACAGAAGGTGCAGAAGACTAAAAGGCAGCTGCAGTTATTTTGACCTAAGAAGAAAGCATGAAAGAAGACGTGAAAGTCAGGCTTTTGGTGGAATAACAAGAGCTGATGGTCAGAGTGCACACTAGGACAGGCTTTGCCAGCAAGGGGTTAATTTTTTAGAATTGAAAAAAACAAACCAAACCAAGAAACCACAAAGCTTGACAACTGCTTTATGTGCCACCATTAGAGTCCAAGTGGCCTGTGGATGATCAAACATGGGTGTTCTTGACATGACATTAATTCTCTCAGGAGAGAAATGAGTCTCTCTAGCTGGCTGATTTACAGCTTGTGGCTGGTGTCCATTTCAAGGAAAGCTGTTTGTCAGTTCCTTTGTCCATGGCAAAAACTTCTCAGTGTAACACAGCAACCTTCAAAATCCATTTTGTCAGCTAATTAGGGCTACAAAGATGATTAGGGGACTGGAACATCTTTCTTATGAGGAAAGGCTGAAGGACTTGGGTCTTTTTAGTCTGGAGAAAAGACAACTGAGGGGCGATCTTATCAATGCTTATAAATACCTGGGAGGGTGCCAGGGGGATGGGAACAGTCGTTTTTCAGTGGTGCCCAGTGATAGGACAAGAGGTAACGGGCACAAACTCAAACATAGGAAGTTCCATCTAAACATGAGGAGGAACTTCTTTACTTTGAGGGTGGCAGAGCACTGGCACAGGCTGCCCAGAGAGGTTGTGGAGTCTCCCACTCTGGAGACATTCCAAACCAACCTGGACGCTGTCCTGTGCAACCTGCTGTGGGTGACCCTGCTCTGGCACGGGGGTTGGACAAGATGATCTCCATAGGTCCCTTCCAACCCTGACCATTCTGTGATTCTGTAGTTTGCTCAATCTGAAACCTACCCACGCCACCAGCCCAAAAACCCTCCTGTAGACACTGCAGATTTGCCAGAGGAGCCCTGTCAAAACTCACTTGGCAGTCTGGGATGTTACAGGCATAGCCCCTTGCCTTGACTCTCAGCCAAAAGCCCTGACATTACATATGAAAAATCACATTAGAATAATCAGAAGATCACCTGTGCCAACTTTCAGTTCCTCACGCGCAAGACCCAACATTTTATCTTACACTGTCAAGGAACATGAAACTGCTGGAAATTTATGCCATTTCAAATCTTCTTCTAAAACAGTAATATTTACTGTTTGCAGGTGAGACTGCACCTACACTCCCCAGCCAAACCATATGTCTGGCACATTTGCTACTTTTCACATTATTCCAGGAACATGTTCAAGCACCAGTTTTTGAAAGGGGATATAGGATGACATGAAGGGCAGAAAGTTTTCCTGCATATCATCTTGCTCGATCATTTAGAAGTTGCCACGATCCTAGGCAGAGAATAGGTTGCACCATGTATAGGACTGCTGTAACCTAGAAAGGAGAAAACATCAGAGATGGGAGGAATACCACAATGTGAAGTAACAGCTGCAGGTAATTTTGAAGGGATTGCTCTTTCTTTGTTCCACTTCCACGTGTCCAGAGCTCACTCACGTTCATTTTGCAGCCCCGTTGCCAGTGACTGACTACAACAGATCCTCTGAGTAAAAATAGTGCAAAATATGTTCCGTCTGATTCCACACCTGACTTATTAGAACAGTGTCCCAAGCTGTATAATCCCAGGACTTCCTTTCTGGACAACATTAACTCTGTTAATGATACCTTCACGGTATCATTACCTCACGGGTATGAAGGATTTTCTTTATTATTCTTCTTTGTTTATTATTTTAACATGGCTTCTGTTCTACATTCAGTCCTATCAGAAATGATGAAATAGTCACCTATCAGAAATGATGAAACAGACTGACACCAAATTTTCCTCCACAATTTTCACGCTTCTTGGCCTGTATTTATTTGAATTTTAGAATCGCTGGCAATAAGAATAAATAATATTTACCAAAAAAAAATCCTTCCTTTGCTGCAGGAAAAGCATTAAAAAGGGCTAGCAGTGGTGTATGTTCTATGAATGTTTCAAATAGGGATGAGAGTAAATGTAAAGAAGTCTTCACAGGTTACTTGAAGGTCTCCATGGTAATTAATAATGTGTGGTTCAACATTAGACAGCCCTCAGGACAAAATTAAACAGATCATAAAAGCTATCAAAGATCCACTAATCTTGTAGGTAATTAACAGTTCTTTTAGTTGAGCTCTAATAAAAAGCAAAATTTTTTTATTATAGTATTTTCCATTTTGATTTATGCTGCTTTTTAAATTACAGGTGCGAGCTGAGCTCCAAATGCTGTGACCTTAATTTGCATATCAAATTTAGGTCTACTAAAATGTTGCTGTCCCTGGCACGTACTGCACAGCAAAGCCACCCCTCAACACGTGTCATCAGCAATGCGAGTTGCAGCAGAGAAGCTGTCAGGTTTGCTGAACGTCTTGGGAGGCTGCAACACAAACATGTGGAATCCCCTCTGCTGAGATATTTTCCATATTTCTTTCACATCCTATTCAAGGTACCATATAACTAAAGAGCAGGCAAGATAACTGCATAGCTGGATGAGATAAGCATACATTTGCACCTTTTATTTTCCTACCTTTCCCCTCTAATTAACCATCTTCTATCAGAAAAAAAAACCCTCTCCGTGGAAATCACATAAATAAATTTTACACAGTTCAAAGTTACAGTTCCCCAAGCAGCCATAGTGTGACCACACTATTCATATATACCAAGGTGTTAACAGCATACACAGCAATGCAAAATACTACCGACATGGAAGACGGCCAAGCTACAGCTATGCAGGACCCATAATTTTCCATATCCTGCCCACTGACTGTTAAGTAAGCTTATTCTCTTCCATCTGGAACTTCCCAGCTCTGAATCACAGCAATTACAGCAATTCATACCACTTCAGTGCTAGGTGGGAAGGATCATCATCACTTTTTCTCTACTGCAAAAGCAAACAGCTAACATTCCCCAAACTCGGTCTCTCCATCTACTTCCCATTACACCCGCAGTGATTTTCAAGTTGTCAAACTATAACCCCAGCCAAAATCAGCGAGGACGCTGGGGGACTGCATAGGGTGTACCCACACTTTTTGCAAAATACTCGACATGATGCTCAGGTGAGCTAATGCCCACCGGAAATCCACGGATATTTCACGCTCTTTCACATTAGTCTACAGGGATGACACTTTAAGCAATCAAGTATGGAATTTTGATCCTACAAACACATGAAGCTCATCTAACCTCAAGACTATGAATACTGTAAATGAACTCTCATGAATTTTAGCAATAGCCTTATACTCTATAACTACAGCATGACACAGTAAAAATGTGGCAATGAAGTTCAAATACAGCAACACATCTTACTGCTTAGGGAGATGTTTTCATACTATCTCATGCTGTTTCAACGTATCTCAATAAAACAGTCTTTTTCTAA